CCCCATCTGCCCCATATTGACATCCCTTAACCCAAACCCAAATACAAGATCCATTTAAAAATAAAAAAAATTGAATCATCTTTCTCCCTCTAAACCTAATATCTTATTTTTCTTCTTCCCCTTTTTTTATTAAGCAATTTCAAGATCAATTTCACTATAAGTTGATACAAGTGTGCTTATATATTTTCAGTATAAGTTTCCCTTTTTTGACATTTTGCAACTGTGAATGTAATCCTCACCAGTGTACATCATGTAAGGTAAGAGAAGCTCATTGAAGTAATCCGAAATGCCAAGACTTTTAACAGAAACTAAAATTTAAAATCTAGATAGGCATATTCACATTAAACGATTAGTTTTATATAAGGCCTAATATCTGACATAAGCCGCACCAATTTTGCATCTTAGCAGATGATTTCATTCTGAACATTATTTGCATTGAGAAGAAAAAACTAAATCTATATTTCACTTGAGATTAATCTTGAAATTGCTTAATAAGAAAGGAGAAGAAGAAAAATAGGATATTAGGTTTAGGGAAAGAGATGATTCCATTTTTTTGAAACTATAAGAACTTATCTTAACTTGACTCTTGACTTCTCTTGACTTTGACCTTAACTGCTCTTGACTTGACTCTCAACTATCGTTGAATTGAATTATGGATTCAAGGATTTTGATTTGTGATTGGAAAGATCTCATGTTATTTAGGAATGATTTGAGATTGCTAAACATAAGAAAAAACTGAAAATCAAAAATACCAAGGTGGGTCCGCGACGCAGAGGCATAATTTAATTTTGGTTCCAAAAACGTCTTTTGAGGCAGAACACCTCGTGTCAGCTCCGCAATGCGAAGCTGAAATGTTCAAATCTGGGCACTAGGCGCGCGACGCGCGGCCACCCTCTAATTTCGTCCTACGAAATTTCTTTTTCGTTTCCCAACCCCAATTCACTCAAACTCGGTCCTTTTTCTCAAATTACTTTTAGATACAGATACCCAGCAAAAGTACCTAAGAACCTAACTCGAAACGACCCTATGATGCGACCTAACGAACTCATAAACTTCCCATCTCAGTTAAATTCAAAAACGATATATGAATTCAAGAATAGATATCAAGATCATCAATATTCAAATGCTTTTAGGACGAATCCAACTAAAATAATCATGCTCGGCACGTGGGAGAATGATCCCAACGTTATGAGAGTCTCACATACCTGGTAGAAGTAAACCCTTAGCGAAAACACCAACTTTCTTGATCGATATTGATGAATCTGCCCTTTTTCTCCTTCTTCTTTTCTCTTCTCCTTTCTCCTTAGCCCTAGTGTAAAATCCCAAATTCAAAAACTGACTAAAATCTGATTTGACCCATATTAAACTCCTAACAAACGGATTAAAATAATAGGGCAATGAAAAGACTAAAATACCCTTTAAAATTCCGGATTGGACATTTCCTTAATCCAACAGCCCAACTTCCAAAGGGCATAACTCACTCATACGAACTCGGAATCGCGCAAACTTGGCGGCGCTGGAAAGATCATTCCAAGGGATTTCCAACCATATCTGGAATCACACCTAACTCATCCTGAGCTAGGAATTATGGCCATTTGAAGTTGACCAAAAACTCACTATAACTTACTTAAAATTTTTCCAGATTTCCTCATTCTTTCCAAAAGTAACTATTTCCAGATTTTTAAACTTCCTTCTAGTTCTATCTAGTTGCGAGATGTTACAATTTGTTTGCAAAGAAGTCTCTATTGTCTATAGCATCAGCATTTGGGAAATCAATAGCTATAGATAAAGTTACTCAAATCAAGTCAAAACCTAGCACGGCTAGGGTCAAGCTTATACTTGATCTAATGGAAAAGCTCCCAAATCGTATAAGGTTGCAGTTTGTGGATGGAAAATCTGGTAAGTTGATTGAGGTTTTTCAAGAGATAGTATATGATAATCTACCTTTGTATTGCAATTATTGTAAGCACCAAGGTCATGATGAAGATAGTTGTCGTTTGAATTTCGAAAAGAAATCAAAATAACAAACAAATTGATGATACCATTGAAGGTGCTTTAAAAGGTACTACCGATAGTGAAAAGTATCAAGGCGATGCGAGAGAGATATTAAATGAAAAAGAAAGACTGTAGATGTCGATCAAAGTAAATCTACTTCTTTAGATCGACAATTGGTTGCTTCCACTTTCAAGCAAAATCGTGTAAACTCAATGGATGTTGATACAAGTAATATTGGTGTTCAAACAACTACTGAAAACAAAAGTGATTGCAATAACCAATAGGCTGCTACTAATGAGGTGCAATCAAAAGAAGTTGGGCTGAATTTGATGTCTAAAGCAACTAAAAATGTAGGGGGAACACCAATAGTTGGGGTTGAAGCGCCGCGAGTTGATTCAGGGCAAAAATTAATGGATTCAAGACAAAAAATAATGGATACATCTGATGTTGAAGATGCTGAAAATTCTGGGCAGCATGTTTTGCAAGTTGAAAACGAGAATCCAACTAAAAACTGGACACTGGTTGCACACAAAAGATCAACTAGTAGTCGGAGTCTTTCCCCTACTAGTCAAAATAATTCTTCATGTAGTGAAAAAGGTCCGACTGGGAATTTTATGATAGTGAGAAGAGGCAAGATACTAGTAATGCCTCAAGAGACCTATTATATTCGAATAGCTTTGATGCTTTATTGAAGACTACTGGAAAGCAAGTAAGGTTAACAGAGAATGACCACGATTTGATCCAAGAAAAACAAGTCTCACCACCTGCTTTAAATAGCAAATTAAGTCCAGAAGCTCTTGTATTTGTTCCTAAATGTGTGCTTGCAAGGAAGAATGAGTCAAGTGCCTTAATGTCAAATACAATTGATTTGGGTGAGGATTCTCTTGATGAAGATGGAGTGGATTTGGGTGAGGATTCTCTTAATGAAGATGAGAAAAACAATATGTTGGACATTTGCTTTGATAGAGTGGCTAGGGAATGGGATATATCACCTAGGCAACAAAGAAGTGGAAGCAACAAAAGCAAAAAGAAGACATATGGAAGGCAACATAGTTGGGACAGTAAAATGACTGAGGAGTTTGTTCCAAGGCACCTACCGATGCGACAGGCAAAGCAAAACCATTTGATAGTATCAATAGGTTCAACTAGATCCAATAAATCCATAAAGAAGGTATGAATCATCAAGTGTTGTTGGATAGGTTTGAAGAAGAAGACAAGAGAAAAACATTTCAAGTTACTTTTGATGGGCAATCAATCTTTTTTAATTCATGCTTTAGTAATAGAAAGTTTGAGGTTGGTAACTCAACTTTCTTCTTGATTGACATATTTTTACATTATTTAAGCATCCTCATTTGTAATATCATCATGGAGTGTATTACAAACTCTGTAATTAGGGGTGTTCACGGTTTGGATAAAAACCAAACCAAATCGATAAAATAAAACCGATTTTACTTGGGTTTGGTTTGGTTTGGTTTTAGATTTTTGAAAACCGATAGTATTTGGTTTAGTTATGGTTTTATTCGGAAAAAACCGAAGAAATAACCAAACCGAACCGATGAATTATATACATATATTTTATTTCGAAAAAAACCGAAGAAATAACCGAACCGAACCGATGAATTATATACATATATTTTATTAATATACATACTTAATATATTATTTTTATAAACAATTTTAAAGATCTTATACATATTTTCATTAAAATTTCTTTATAATTTACTTATTGAAAGCAAAAATGCCCAAGATGAAACATTTATCTTATTGATTTCATGTATATGAGTGTCTATGTCAATTCTTTGTGGGACTGAAAATGTTATTGTCTCTTCCTTCTAGGCCAATATAGTGAATTTTAAAGCTTTATTGATAGTAAATTTAGTGATTGAAAGTTTAGTAATTTAAGTCATTCTAACTATTTTTCGTTTTGAATGGATTGTTGTCACTTTTTTCACATTTTAATTGAATTGTTTCTTTTATTTTTGTGTATGGTTAATAACCGAATAACCGAACCAAACCAAACCGAAACCGATAATAATCAAACCGATAAATGTATATTATATTTGGTTTGGTTTGGTTTTGATAATTTTAAAACCGATTAAGTTGGTTTGGTTTTGGTTTTGACCAATAACCGATCCAAACCAACCCGTGAACACCCCTATCTGTAATTATCAGAAAATACTTAGTTCTCTCTAGCTCTTATTTTCTTCATGCTTGTTAGGTACTTCATTAGGATTAGTAAGGTAAGGTCTAGCCCTCCTTGCTTGTACTTGTCTCTATTGATATTTTTTATGTTTAATAAAAGACCGCTAGACACTATCTAGTGGTAAAACAAAAGAATATTCAACTTAAAGAAAAAAAAGAAAAGAGAATGACTTTTATGAGATATGGTGCCACATGGATGAAGAAGGCCGGACAAAGGTCTCAATCAGAATGACTTCAAAGGTGCTGAAAAAACTAAACCTGGCGTAAATAATCAGAGGCGTATTCAGAATTTCGATAAGATGGGTGCACGATTACCAAAAAATGCTTCTTAAATATAAATTTGATCAGTTTGACTTTTAGGTTCTTAATATGAACCATTAAATTTTAAAAATTATAGGTCTAAAATATATAATACTACTAGTTTTAAATTTTAATATACACATTTGATTTGATTAGATAAAAAAAAAATTATAGTGCTAATTTTTTTTAAGAATTTTCAATGCAACACACTTGAAAATTTTGAAAGATTTAAGAAAAAACAAAAGAAAAATTAGTTGAAACGCCAAAAGTATAATTGATAACCACTTGGAGAGGTGTTACTCAAAAACAAAAGATAGATATAAGATTTAAATTTCTATCATCACTCAGAGAGGTGCACCCTATCCTTTCATCATCATATTATTAAATGATACTTTGAACGTGGATTCACATATCTATATTTAAATATTTTTTTAACATATAACACTACTATATATGATCTAGAGAGGGGAGCATGGGTTCACGGCACCCCCTCTAGATACGCCCCTGCCGGCGTTCATTGCTAGGCGAATAAAAGATTCAAGGCCATTAAGACCAACTATCGGAATCACTGCCGAGATGATGACATTTGTACGTAGATTCTTTGCTTGAGAGTGTTCTTGTTCTATGGAACTGTATGAAGGAATAAAAGTTTTGTTGATGAAGAGATTCTTAATCCTCATTGATGATGTATGGGACACAAAAGCATGGGACTATTTACATATGTGCTTTCAGGGTATTAAAAATGGTAGTAGAATAATCCTAACTACCCGGCTCTCTGAGGTGGCGCAATATGCTAAATGTGAAAGTAATCCCCATGATCTTCCTTTACTGAGAGATGATGAGAGTTGGAAGTTATTACAGAAAAAGGTTTTCCATGGAGACAACTGCCCATCTGAACTTGGAGATGTGGGCTTTCGGATAGCAAAAAGTTGTGGCGGATTGCCTCTCTTCATTGTGCTAGTAGCCGGTGTTCTGAAAGAGAAAAATAACAAAGCAGATTTGTGGAAAGAAGTAGAAGAAAGTCTAGATGCACTGAACATCGATAGCTTGGAAGAGAGCATGTCGATAATTGGATTCAGTTACATGAATTTACCACATCATCTGAAGCCTTGCTTTTTGTATTTTGGAGGATTTTTGAGGGGCAAAAGCATTCACGTCTCGAAATTGACAAGGTTATGGTTGGCAGAAGGTTTCGTACTTGAAAATAAGGAAAAAGGACTAGAAGATGTTGCACAAGATTTCTTGAAAAACCTTATTAGTAGAAATCTAGTCATGGACATGGAGAAGAGGTTCAATGGCAAGTTGAAAATGTGTCGTGTTCATGATCTATTGCACAAATTCTGCTTGGAGAAGGCCAAACAGGAGAATTTTCTGCTCTGGATCTATAGGTACAAAAGAACTATATATACTACTCACTCTGTTTCAATTTGTTTGTTTGGTTTTGACTTGATATGAAGTTTCAGAAAAATAAAGAAGACTTTTGAATCTTGTGGTTTTAAACTAAAGATACGTAGAATGTACCAAAATGTCACTTAATCTTGTAGTTTTGAACATGTCATGTGGAAAGTTTAGAATTAAAAAGTTGCCAATGCCACCAGTGATGATCAGTATACTACAATGGCGTGTGATATCTCCTTCATCCTTGACAGCTTCAAACTTGTTAAGGTATTGGATTTGGAATCAATCAACATTGGTTATACTTGGAGGTTCTAAAGTTACTAAACCAAGCATTTGAAGGAGTTCAGTGGAATGTGAATGATACAGAGTTCCCTGAACTCAAATACTTAAAATTGGACAGCCTCAACTTTGCTCAATGGTCGATTTCTGAGGATTCGTTCCCTAGTCTTGAACGATTGGTTTTAACAAACTGTAAGAGGCTTGAGAAAATCCCTTCTCATTTTGAGGACGTTGTTTCTCTAAAAAGCATTGAAGTAAATTGGTGCAGCTGGTCTGTTGCTAATTCAGCAGAGGAAATTCAAACAACGCAACGTGAAGATATGGCAAATGATGAGTTCACAGTTACTATACAACCTCCTGATTGGGATAGAATATCATCTCCTTGACTCTTATCTGGTATATATGTTAATCCTTGCCATGTTCATCTGTCATCTGTCAAATGATCATTCAACTAATAGTTATTACTTCAGAAAGTCGTCTTTCTCATTCAACAAAGAAAGTGACTTTCTGAGATAATAACTATTAGTTGAATGACCAAGAAATAAACGCGAGTTTAGTACATTTCCACTCTCATTCATTTTTGTTTTGCAGCGGATGTTATACTTGTGTTGGCTGCCTTCTCTTCCCCTGAATGGAATCCTGAGCTCCTTGTACGGCCTGGACAATCCTCGTCTCTATGAGCTAGCTTTTGGGGTGTGAGTTAGACCCAAGGCCTAATTTGACACATCCTGTTGGTCAATTTCGTTGCCATATTTTAGCTAACTGGATAAAAGTAACTCGTAATTTTTATAACAAAAGATCAATGTATAATGAAGTTTGTTGGCTTAACATTTAACACTTTGAATGTTAATTTGAATTGTTTCATTAATTCTCACATAAACATTTGCTTCCTGAACTTATATGTCACTATATCAACAGTGACGGATCTAGAGTACGAGATTCACGGGAATCTAGTAGCTTTTGCTTAGATCGTGTATTAACTTCAGATATTAGATCCACCTTTATATATCATAGAAAGTATATATTGAGTATACAATATAGCTTGCCGAAAGTATACAATATAGCTTACCTATACATGAGTTATACACTGACTATATATTATGATACACTCAAAAAATTGAATCTAACTTAACTATACACTGACTATCAATCTTAAGCATTTTTAATGGTATTCATTAACAAAATAATAAACGGTATTATTAGTATCTTAAAGCGAATTATAAGCAAGTGAGGTTGTTCTAATGAAAAATATTTAAAGTTCAACGTTCAGTTTTTGTACTTTTTTATGTTTCTATTTGATTTTCAATTAAAAAAAATTATTGAAATAAATGACAAGTGAAATTGTTCTTTAATTTCCATCAGAAGTACTTCAAGAGATTTTTTTTTCCAAAATAAAAACAGTAGAAAGAATAATGGTTTATTAAACTTGTTTAAGTTCGCAACATACATTACTAAAAAAGAATCACTATCTTTCCATTAAAATTTATCACTAAAAAATATTCATTGGCTATTTAAAAAAAATATTTTGATAGAATCAGTGAGAAAAAGAACAGTAGTATTTTCACACGAAAAAATTTAGGAAATTTCTCAATATTTTAATAAGAATATGTTTTCCATCATGCATTTTTATGAGTGTACTAGTTCGATGGAAAATGAGTGAAATAAGTATGTTTTATAACACAAATTTCCATTGATTCACCCTTATTTTGTTTCTAGTTGTGATATAACTTCAAATATGATGGTCTGAAGTTATTTATCTTATATTCAAGGTATAATACATAAATATATGCCTTTTAAGTTGGTCTCAGTTGATATTTATGTTCTTCAATTTTGGATATGCATAAATACACACTTAAAATTGTGTAAAGTAGAACAATTAGACACACGTATCTTATGTAACGTCATATGCATATTATATCACGTAGAACACGTGTATCTATATTATGCACACCTAAAATATTGAAAAACATAATTATCAGTTGAGGCCAAATTAAATAACACGTTTATATATTATATACTTATATTCCATACAAATATATGCACCTCTTTCCTTCCTTCAAATTCCACTCAATACACCTTTTCTCTTCACGGTCAAGAGTTACTATAAAATAATTTAAGTTGTTACACATTTAAAAAAAAATGAAAATATACTCTACTATATATAATATTTACAATTGTATAAAGAAGGACATAATTCAACAACATTAAAGAAAAATGATTGTTTTCGAACGGCAGGTTAGTGTTACTGATTATATAGAACATCATGCACCCACAATTCAATAATCGATAAGTCCATATAGACTTTAAGATTTTGCACACAAAAAATATGTGACGCTCATAACAGACAACAAATCTCTGAAGGAGTGTCTCACATCACAATGAAAGAAAAAAAAGTTAATGACCTTATATATAAGAATGAGTTCATAATCAATTCTTCGAACGGGTTTAATTAAATTACCTCGAGGAATAAATTTATATCGATGATCTAGATCCAAAACAGACAATATCTTAACAGTTAAACCATACCGTTACATAATAGTTCTAAAAGATTGGAAATTATGTGAGTGGTTGAATTGGCAACTTCATGATGATAGTGTTGTTGAACTTTTACCATGCAATTTCTTGGGGGGGTACTGTCTTTCAATTAAGCAACATAATTACTATGAATATATCTTTCCCTTTTTTCTTTTTTTTGTGTGTGTAGTCCCTATATATATAGACTATATAGTTTTCATGACCTTACTAGTTATAAGTTATATACAACTGACAATTTTCAGAAATAGCTAACTTTAGGCCGCTCCTTAGCTACAGTTTCAATATTTACAATTCGTAGCTATGTATTAAAATTAAATTAATTAAGATAATGAAAACTGCATCTACCAAAATGGAAAAATAATAATAATAAGGAAGTTAGAAGATGCATTTACATATTTAATCCCAATAGGCAAATTCAAGTGGCCCAACTCGATCAAAACGTTACAGTATATTAAAAAAATAAATCGAATCCACCATTACACATTTTTAATAATAATAAAAAAAGAATAGAACAAGTACCACTACATATTTATAGTGAAGTAATAAGTACTTTTTCAATTTTAAATAAATTTTTTGTACTCGAATTTTTAGAGTAAGATTACGTTTTGTAGGAAGCGGTTTACGTCCTATAATGGAATTTCTTAGTGGCCGAAACGAATTTAGATTAGTCGCTCATTTATTTATAGAGGCGGAGCCGCAGGGGCGGAGCTACCCTTGCCCGAGGGGTGTCAAGCGACACCCCTTCATCGGAAAATTACGTTGTATAGGTAAGTCAAATTCTGATTTTATACCTATATATATTAGAATTGACACTCCTGAACCAAGTTGAAGTGTTGGTTCAGCGGTTCAGGGGCTACAAAGTTCCGCCTTGTCATTGACCTAGGCGTTGGGAGTTCGAACCTTGCTGAAGTCTATTTTTTTTTAAAGGCTTTTCAGCGTTTCTTTTTAACTTTTTAGACAACTGTAACTTTTTTGTCTTTAGTTTTTAGACAGCTAAACGTTTTTTCCTCCAATTTTTAAACCATTGACTTAAATTAAGTTTACTTTAATATTTTGTTTTTTTAAAAGAATAAAATACACTTTTAGAAAAAGATGTATTTATTAATATTTCTAATGCTACTATTGTAAAACATTTTCAAGTAGATGAAATTGCGTCGAGTACGGTTGTAATTATGTTTTGCTTTTATTAGTAAAAACTTTTTTGTGTGCATACTACTTTATATTTTGACACCCCTCAATCTAAATCCTGGCTCCGCCACTGGGCGGAGGTAGAGTTTTAATTACAAATTAGGCAAAATTTAGTAACTTTAATTTTGTTTTCAATTTTTCCATGAGTTCTCACCTTTTAGCTCCTTAATAACTCAAAGTCACAATCTTAAAATTGAAGGTTGAGAGCAGTGACGAAGGCAGAAATTTCACTAAAATATATATCTCTAAATAGTCTTTAACCTATATATATATATAATTATTTTCATCCCACGGTATAATTTTTCGAAAAAAATATTCATGCTAACCACCCTTAATTCGGTTTATATAGATGCTTTCCACTTAAGCAACCGATAACTCCTTGGTCACTAGTTTTGATTGAACTTTTATATTCGTGTTAAGAAATTTGATTAATATATAAATAATTTATCAAAAAAATTATAATTAGATATCGAATATCGAATAAAAAATCAAAATCGACAAAAAGCAATTAGTTGACAAATCGCTTTCAAAGAAGAGTGTGAAGCATAGAAGAGAAAGCACATGGGATCAGTTTTTTAAGCTGAACACATCAGAACTCTTATATATGAGGGGCATGTGGAGGCAAAAAATTCATTTACTTTTTTTTTAAAATAAAATAAAATAATTTAATTTAATTTAGTGAATATTTAATTATATCATATATAAATTATTAAAAAAAATTTTAAATTTTTTTAAAAATTTCAAGTATATGAGGATAGCAAAAACTAAGAACATGGATCCACCCTATTTCCAATGGGATTATTGAAACTTCCAACTAATAAAGTCATGTGATGCTGTGATGTTTCCTTCTCTTGTCTTTGCCTTATATATATATAATAAAATAAAAATATATATAATATTCTTTATTTTATTTATTTTGAAATAATTAATAAAATTTGTACATGAAAAGGGGTCCCAATACCGTCAAAATATTTCTCAATCTCCATCATTTATTTCAGATATAGTTGTACAATATATATATCGGGATGGTGAAAGTAAATTTAGTGATGGATGCTCTATTTTGATATCATGTCAGATAAGAGTAAGATCAACATACACTCTATTATTCATAGAGTTTATTTAACTTCTCTTTTAAAGTACATATGATATCGCATATTTTCACTAATTGTTTTAAGAATTGAAAATTATCTAGACACATTTGAATTTGAAATAAAGTTAAGGACTAATAGTTCTTGATACTCCAAGTCCCACAATATTCATGAATAAACTAGGCAGCCAATGATACCCTCATCATAAACATACGTTTGAATGCATTAATATATATATATATAAATAAAACTTTTTAGAAGAAAAAAAATACCACAAAAGCAAAAGGAATCCCATGCATGTAGCTCCCCACGACACTTCCATATTTATCAAAAAAAAAGAAGGGTACGAAAAAAATATAAAAGAATGAGTCACATCTATGGTCCATTAATTTCTATTTTTTTGAAAAAATAAAATGGAGTTATCTTGTTTGTAAATGGTAAAAAAAAATTTAAAAAAATTGGCTCTTCCGAGAAAAATTCTAAAGGCACGCAATTCTTGATCTTTTTAGAATTCTGAAGGACATCGATCTTTCGCCTTGCGCAAGGATATCTCTCTTTTCTTAGACTCCATAAGG